GTACCGGATATCTTAGTGTCGTTTTTTCACCACGAGTTTCGGACCACCAATATTTTAATTCAGAATCCGGGAGTGAAACAGCATATTCATCGAATGACTCATTAGCACTTTCCCATTTACCAGTATGAGTGGAAACCTCGTACGATTAAAGCTAGGAATTTTTTGAGTCGAAAAAGAGAGGTAGGTCGGTTTTGACATCATCTGACAAATCATCCCTCTCACTTGCTAAAAAGTTAGGCCTGGACAAAAGAAGTATACAGTTAGTTAGAGTAGGGTCTGCTGTATGGTGGAAAAGTTATAACTTACCAGCTCAACTGGACAATTTTTCCCGGAGTCTTTTTTGCCACATAGGGTCAAAAACGCACCCTTTTTGAGCACACGTGAGTAGCAGATGAGCACATTTATTAGAATTTCTTGTGCAATCAACTTCGTTAAAGCGTTTGTGCATCATCGATCAGTCACTGCTAAGGTGTCCTACCATTTCAGCACAAGACTGGTGCAGCCCCGTCTCGACTGATTTAACTAGGGCCACCTTTTTGACGACGATTGCGGGCATCACTTCAAAGACTTCACTGTCTTTTGAGAAAACTGTGAAAAACCGATGAGCATTTTAAATGGTAGTATTCCCTCCATCAAATGCAATGTTGGTTTGGTGGGCGGAAAGTTGTAGCTCTCAGCAAGAATTTTGAAGCATTTGGTACACACATGCGAATTTGCACACTGGACCCAGGGATTTTCAAAAAAAGTATATAAAAATTGGGGAAAGTTAAATTGTGAACCAACAATAGAAAACAATAAGCAACATATTTCGCAGTATTAATGAGCAAAAAGGACTTTCTGAGATATTGATTTTCCATAGTAATCGGCCCCAAAACTTCCTGAACTCAGAAAAGCGACACTAAGATATCCGGTACCTAATACATTACTTGCCAGCAATGTCAATCGATATGTATCTAGTCTTGTCAGCGCACCACCCTGCTTCCCTACCTCCCTCTGAGACCCTCCTCTAGTAACCTACTGCTTTCCTATTGTCCCCGTCAATGCACATCATTTTCATTGTCGCGTGCTAGCCTAATCTCCCATGTAGCGAACCATTGAACGCCTCCTTAGGATAGTAGTAGATAAGGGGATTGCGCTGAAATGATTATACTTCCTAATCGATTGGAGTGAATAAGCTTGAACTTCTGATCGTCTACTATCGCAATCAATATGTATGTGATCTATTTTCAGCCGAATACCCTGATATCCTACAATCCTAACACCCTATCGCCTACTCCCCTAACCTCCGAAGTCGTGAACTGTGAACGCAGCTTTCAGACTTACAGGGGGTGTCAAAAATGTTCGCCGAAACCATTTTTCGTGCATTATTTTTTCTCATTTGAGTAGCACCCTCCAAAAATTGATGTACTATGTTTTCTAGTGTTTTTATATCTTCGAATCTTAAGAGAATCAGGATATTCGAAAAAAATTCCGAGATCACCACTGGTTTTTTTGTGGCAAAAGACAGGAGAAACACGGAAAACCGGTCGGGGAACACTTTTGACCGCTACTCTATATCTGCCGATCGAATACTTGTTCAGTCGATCCCATATTTCAGACTCTTCAATTGCGGTGAAAGCAATTCACATAACGATATGTCCTCTTCCTCCAAGCATGCGAGCGGTATGTAGATGCTACCATGAAGGTGCTCCACCCCCCCCCTCCTTCCCCCACTGCCCCTCTCCAATGTAATCTCATAACCGGCCGCTTTTGAGCTATCAACCTCTTCTCAAAACGCGTTAGGAAAAGGTATTGCATGGTAAGCGCTAGCGAGCGTTCATAGTTGGCGATCGTACGTGCGACTAGGCGATTAGGCGATGAGATTCAAAAAGAAAGTATACGTATCGATTAGGCGATTAGGCGAGTGGGCGATTAGGCGAGTAGTCGATTAGGCGAGTAGGCGAGTAGGCGATAAGAGAAGGATGTGTATTGATTTGATGCTCCGCCCATCGAGCGATCGCCTAATCGCCTACTCGCCTACAACGTTCTATGGGCGGAGCAAACCAATCAATACGTATGTGGTGCTTCCCGCCTAATCGCCTACTCGCCTGATCGCCTACTCGCCTACTCGCCTAATCGCCCAATCTATACGTACATTTTTCATAGACTAATCGCCTAATCGCCTAATCGCACGTACGATCGCCAACTATGAACGCTCCATTACCATTTTGAATTACCATTTTGAAGAGCACACCCCACATGATTGGTGACCCAAATGGTGTGAGCAGACTATGGGGTGAGGCCATCTTGGCATGACTTAGGACATCATAGATTCGTGTCAAAAGCGAATGCAAAAGCATTAACCCTGTTTTGCCATCTGCAATGAAGAAGGAAATCCAATAGTAGTACGAATCGTCGGGCTCTCAACTCACAATCCAGTATCTCTTCCATTTGGACCTCATTCCCAGGTGCGATCTCACGAGAGAATCACGAGCGGAAATTGGACGTGGATCGGTCTTTACGATACTCAATGCAACGCCTTCTTTGAACTAGCTGTGTCTATTTAGCCTCTCTTATCAGAAGCCTATGATGTCCCTTGAAACTTCTGCTTAGTCATGCATTATTTCGAAAAGGTCTAGCACTCGGTTCTCATCAGTCCTCTGCGATCGAACAGGCTGTGCATCCAAGTGCATCCAAGCCGCCGTTAATGTGTGTGCCAACGAGGCCACTTCCCACTAATTCATCCTAACTGTTCCCTAAGGGGGGAATACAAACGTACCTATACTGTACTAGTAACAGCTGTGAGTAAGCGGGATGTCGACCACACTCGAATAGATCAAGTAAGCAAATAACAGTGAACCTACTGATGGAACGGACATCATTATTATCAGTCTGGGGATGCACGTAAATAGCACAAATAATCAACTGTCTTCATATCACGTTTTTTTCGGATAGCCATCGTAACATTTTCATTTTTACCCAGCTTACAATGCGATGTCTACAAAAAAATCGATGTTGCGCGTGTCAGACTTCGCAAATTAAGCAAATCCTTGGCAAATCGCGGGGCGCTCATATCCTCAGGAGGGACATTCGAAACAGGGCATAAAACCTTGCATTCCTTTAAAACTGCTGGTAGGTGACACTAGGAATGAGCCCGAAGAGGGGAGAAACGCCAGGAGTGAACAGAGGTTGCCCATATCCTCCGTCCAGAATCCCCTCTCCTCCCTAAGGCTTAAGCCCGAGTTGTATTAGTGGCTCACTCATTTCAAAGTCCCCCCCCCCTAAACGACCATTGACGCCAATCGCGGATACGGGCGATGTGCGGTGGTTCGAGTGATCAGCTACTGTTTGAAGGACGCACCAACTATTCGACAACGTGGGAAAATGGCAATCGTCTTCTCATGTGCACTTTGATTCGCTTCACTGTTGCAGGCTCGCAAGAGCATGAGAGGCGGCGGAAGTCGTGGCAGAATCGACCGTGCCAACGCTGCTGACAGTTCTGGATTAACGGCAAAGATAGTAATAATTTTCAAAAAAAAAGCGATCTCGTCAATCTTCCCCACTGTCTAGCCGATCGTGCTTTCAAACAATTCGTTGAATTCGCAAAATTTGACACTACTAACGCATACACTTTGGTTATTGGTGCTGTTATTTGATGCAGATTCCCAGGTTGTGTGAGCTGAATCTTCTCGAAAATATCAAAATTTATTTCCTTGGAAATTTGAAATAAAACAAGTGTAACAACGTTGATAAACAATCCAAACGATATTTCAATGCGCAAGCAGCAAAGAGCTTCAGAATTCCGCCTACTACTTTGCAGAATCATGTGCGTGGAATCGTTGTGTTTCTTCCCTGCATACATCGCTTCCACGTTGATCATTATATTGACCGTACTAGGTTCTTGCATGAATTTCAGGCTTTCCAGAATAAAAAACAATTTCGAAAAACAACGCTATGATTATGGGGGCTCAGTATCACAGACCACTGGCGTAAAAACAAAGAGCGAATAGGATGAGGTAATGATTCGGCGGCTACGCAAAGTGACCCATCGTAAGGTGGAGTTGTGTCCAACATTTCGAGTAAGACCAAAATTTTATAAATATTAACACGTTGACGACAGCGTGACGCGGTAACGCGTCCCACTTTGCGCACCTCGTGGGACATTGTGACGCGGTAACGCGTCCCACCCAAGTCATCCCTTTTTCTTGCGCTTGTGCGACTTATTCCTAAGGTCTTTGTACTCATTCTATAGGTCATACATTAGCATACTTAAAAACCACATGGCTCACAGAAAGGCCAAATATTCTTTAGTTTGGCAGACGTTTTCCAGACCTTACGGATATGTCTGTTCAATTCATTCCTCGTTTTCTTTTCAATAACGTAGACATGTTGATAAAAAGGAATAACAGAAGTGAATACAAACCTATTCGTATGGGAAGATATGTGTTTTACTGAAACAAAACCACGTCCAAATTAATTTTGGAACCACTAAAGGAAATTAAGTAAAATTTCCCTTTTCATGGCCTTAACACGTCATTTCGGTCAAACTTCCATTACTGTAACTCCTGATAAGCTAGACAGATCGAACATCATTGAAAACATTTCATCGCATCTAAGTATTGCGGATTTACAACTTAAAATCCATGGATTTGGTGCTGCGCTCGCAAAATCGCTCTTGTCCCACGCGGTGCAAAAGCACAAAACGCGCGATGTCGTCAACGTGTTAAAAGCATACCAGATTCCGTCTGAAGCACCAGAGACAAACAGAATGCACCCGTCCCGTTCAAACGTCTGTGACAGTTCTGATTACGGCAAGATATTGAGCAAGTAACAATTTCAAAGAAAGCGATATTTCGGAACTTTTTTCTTGACGTAAAAACGGTACTGAATTCACCAATTCATCGAAGAAGCCGTTATGGTGTTTTCCATGCACGATTTCACATGCGCAAAGTAACTGATATCAGCACGAAGATCATGATGATCTTCTAAATAATTACTCAATTATCTGTGATGAGTAGAAGTTAGAGATCACCAGTAGGAATCGAATGATGAGCACTCAAGAGATGGTGCGACACGTCGCTACCCTGAAATCAGCATTTTTCAGTGCTATCGACTTGATCGCTATATAAAGGCTGAATAGAATTCACGCTCTTCCCCTCCAGACTTGTAGTTGTAATTTCAGCTCGCTAACAGGACCCTTACTAATTTGATCACCTTCATTCTTGCGAAAGTCCGATCAACTTACCAGCTCTTCCTTTACAAGCTATGTTTTTGGTAGATCACCTTCTGCAGCAGTTCTTGGGAAAAGAAAGCACCAGAAAATTTCAAAGGGATTAGTACGTCAAGAGATCGTTCGTAAATCAGATAAAGAATCCACTTAAGGTTCTAGTAATCCAACAGCCCTTTTTCTCTGATGTCTGCTGATTGGTAGCTCCCGTCTTAGGCTATGAAAACACTGAATGGCCAGCTCTCCTCTCCATTAACCCATTGCGGACCGCGTGCTGCACCATGTGCAGCACGCCACCTTGCGGAGAAGGATAGTAATCTTCGATTTTTTCAACATTTTGCTAAGTTACAAAATCAGCAGTTTGCTTTTTCACACACAGGATATATCAAGTACTTGCGTATTGGCCACGGAGTAAAGAGATGACAAAAACTACGGAGCGTGCAATTATAACGGCGGTCCGCAATGGGTTAACCAACCCTACAGAACTATGGAAAGGACGCCGTGAACTCACCTTCAATGCCTTATTGTTCTGCATCTTGACAAAACAGATCCAAATGGCATTAGCGTTTGGTTCGGGCGTCGGTGTGGGGCTCAAGAGACGCGTAGCACCTGTGCATTAGGGAAATACAGCCTGCTTTTTAAGCTGTAAAGTTGAAGAGTTTTTAAATGGTGCCGTATGGCATAAGAATAGGTCCGCTCGAAACCACTTCAACTTTGGTGAAAATCCAGCTAGAGGTTCTTTTAATTTTTTATTGTTTTTGGACATTTTTATCCACAACGATTAGGCCCTAAGGGTTGCTCCCCAAAAGGAAAAAAAAAACCTGTCTTATAATCATCTTCTCTCCAACACCTCGTGGCAGTGTCAAGTCCCACTTTTGATCCATTGGCAATGTATTCACCCAAGCTACAAAATCGTCCTGCAGAAAACGGTGCTCTGCAAGAAAGACATAAGGTACATCCAATAAGAATTGATGGATTTACTGAGATCAGATGGCTTCCAGGAGAAACCTCAGCGGCGACGCATACTTGATGCTTGCTACATGACGCCATAAGGCCGATGTCAGACTTTGCGAATCGCGCGATTCGCTAGCGTCTGCGGTCGCGTCGCGGCCAGTGAATCACTCAATTGGCTGGTACCGCAACGCGACCGCGGACGCTAGCGAATCGCGCGAATCGCTAGTAGCGAATCGCGCGATTCGCAAAGTCTGACATCGGCCTAAGGGCGACAAAGGCGAAGAGGGGACGAATCATGACAGCGTTGCCGCTTTTATGTAGTTATCGTAAGCGCCTACCGTATCGAGGTCAGTGCGAGCTTGCGCACCAGGTAAGTGCTAGTGAGACGCGCAATGGAATAACCCACATAATCACCAGTTGAGGTAGTGCTTATGATAGCCTGCACCAGAAACGTATCAGTGGAAGCGTTCGATTGCTAAGGGCAGAGGAACCAAAGGAAAAAGCAAGGAAGACATTCTAGCAATTCCCTTTTTGCTGTTTATTTCGCTCAATGTGCGAGCTTACAGTGAGAAGTACTAGGCATCGGGGCGAGGGACCAGGCGACGAAGAGGCGAGAGAGCAAAGGAGGCGTAAGTGACGCCGCAGTAACTATTCGTGACATCAATTATAACTGAGTCACTGTTGTGGGGTTGGGGGAGTGCAGGGAAGGCGTTGGATTAACATAAGCTCTTGATGTTCATTTAGTGCGAATTACACACTATCTTGTGATCGTGGACCATTCTATCTCACACACTAACCATAAGGTCATTCTTCCAATGACCTTATGGTTAGTGTGAACGAATTCTTTCAATCACCTTGGCGTGAGATCAACCTTCTAAGACGCATCTGATCGGGAGACTCTCGTATAGCGAATAACATTTTTTATCTTTGCCAAAACAAAATAGATACCTTAGCTCCTTCTTCAAGACTACGGCTACTCGAGCATCTCGTCCGCCATTGCGACTACCGAGCCGACAGAGCTCTGCTTCACATTCCTAAGATATTTGGGTTGGAGCCGACAAAAGTTTTTTCTTTAAATTGACGGGACTATCATAACGAAAGGAATGCATCTGTTGAAACATCACACTTACATACCTCTGGTACAGAACCGGCCCCATCGCGTTCGAATCGTGTTCGATGTCGGGCATAGCCGGCAAATAACTCGTCAGCCCCACTGCCAACAAAGTAGACATTGGCATCGGACCTTTAACATGAACTTGAAAGGAACGTTTGTGAAAGGAGCTATCAAGTCCACGATCCCAAGTCGCTGATTCGCTGTCGCGTGTCTTACCGGATGTCGGATCCACTATCGTAATCTTTGCCGGCTCCTCGAAGGGCAAACCACAACACGCAAGCCAAGGATTCATCCAAAACAGAAAGTGCTGGAGCAGCAGCCTTAACAAGGCAATCAAACACTCGATACTTCAACGGAACGTGAGCCAGAAATACAGCAGATTGGCACTTGTACACTTACTTTCACGATGTGTTTCAATCTCTTCTTCTCCAGCTCCTCTTTCGTAACATCGACAAGAATCAAGCGCCATATTCTACTGGGAAATTTCGACCGCAGATAGAGAAAACCAGCTATAGCTCGTTGGCGGTCCGTCACTATGGAGCGATGCTTGAAAACAGAATCATTTCAGAAGACTGAGAACCATTCGTACATATCTAATGAAACAATACAAAAACAACATCTAAGGAGTGAGGAAAGACACGATTAATTTTTTTCCGTGATAGAAAAACTTCACCTAGAAGAAAAAGGCCTATACCTGGGAGTCTCGAATAAACGCCACGTTGACAAGATCGATTATCCGATCTGAATGGTAAGCTTCGTGTAGGGCAATCGCCACCAACAGACTGTCCACCCCACCAGAAAACGCGACAGCGGTTGAACTAGCATCTGGAACTTATTTTCTAAGGAAGAAACAGTGAATGTCATGGGTGAGAGGCGGGGCGATTTGATGGCGTCGGGGCCTCATAGTGGGAATGAGTTGGGAGGTGGTCCCAACCACATCTTCGACGTCCTTCCACTAATGACCTACCTGAGGACTTCATCAAAACAGCTCCGCCACTCATTGCATCCACTGCCATCATCACGATATATGAATTGTTATCAAGTGAGATACGAATGGTACAGCGCATTTCAAAGGTACTGACTTAAAGTTCTTATATTTGATTAAGTATTTATTAATTGAGTATTCTAATGTCCAACTAATTTGCAGTGTTATCAGAAACGAAGCTCGATTACTTTCTATATATAGTGATAAGGTTAGATTATGTTATGCTAGTAGATATTTTCCCATTGACAATATACCACTAAAAAGACGGGCATTCCCCGCTAGGAGTTAGTAATTGTTGTTGTGCCTGAAATGAAAGTGGGATTGCAAAGTGGACCTTCAATGAAGAAAAACAGGAGAAACCATCGGTGAACTGGATTGAAACACTCCCCCCCCCCCTTGTTTATGAGGCGAACCATGCTAAGTCGACGAGACATTTGGCGACCCGGAGAGAGCACAGGCGAGAAGGCATCAAACGAGGGAGAGCAGACACGCTGTTGGAGCGTGGTATAGTCGCGACCACCCGCAACCATTTGAACAAGGCCCTAGCACCGACGACGCACACACTGAAGATGCGACGGGGACACTGCTCCTGCAGATGCTGATCCAACTACTCTATTCACGGTGGGACCGTACTACCGGGCTTATCGCGGTAAGTGCGTATGAGGTGAAGCATTGGCTTGATGGTGTAGTAGAAGCACTCTTGCGGGTGAAGCGATCTAGGTTCGACCCTAGGCTGGGGGAAGTAAGCAAACCAGCCCTTTTGGCGTTTCTGCTGGGGCCGTATGCTGAATGTTGGGGAGGGGATGGGGTCCCCGACGGTCGACGGACTACTTCAACTCGGTCCTTAAACCGCCTCAATTTGATGCTTACCTCAGGACTAAGCCTTAGGCCGAGTCATAGTTTGCGAATCGAGCGATTCGCTAGC